CTCCTACAAGATTTGGTTCCTTGTTCAGGATATTCATTCCTAAGAGTCTGATTAATCTTGAACTTTATAAAAACTCAAGTCTCCCCCACGCTCCATCCTGAACAAGTAGTATAGCACCAATTCATCCTTTCCTGCAGCACTTTCCTGTGCTGCAGGGACATCACTGACACCTGCCTTGCCTTCCTAAAACATCTAACAATATATTTTTTATATATTTATATATTTATATATTTTAATAATATATTTTTTTATACTGCTTAACCACAAAACATACTATTGGTAGTTTAGGGCAGGGCTGACTGTAGATAAGGCAAGGTGTGGAAATCAGACCCAATGTAATTCACACAAAGACAAGTCTTCCCTTTCTGCAGACCCACTGTTTCACCAAACTGCCTAATACAGGAGCTGATTACCACAACCATAGAAACTTTGTGCAGACCCTCACCCCTCAACACACAACAGATATCCCCAGGTGCTAAGACAGTATCAAAAATACTAGGGCATAAAATTTTGCCCACCCTTCTTAAGTCAGGACTGCTCCAGGGCCCAAATCAAACCATTCTATATCAGCAGATTAAACCAAAACAAAAAATACTTTAAATACTCAAAAAGTAGAACTTAGGCTAAAATAATAAAATATATATTCTAAGCATATCACTCTAGATATTTTTTAAAACCGTAAGTGTCAAATTCCGCTTGAAATAATGTCTGTGCTTTAACTGAATATAGAGAAGGAGGAACACGTGTGGTGCAAAAGTATTTATGGTTAATAAAAGTATTTATGATTAAATAGAATTGAATACCAAAATCCTGAAATTATAGAATTCATTAGACTAGTATAATGCTGCACAATTACCCTTTTTTATATCATCTACTGCAAGTTTTAGGAGCTCTTTTTACCCACTGGTATCAATCTGCTATGTCATATTTACATACACCATGTATAAAAGGCTGAGGAAGTATTAGACATGTCAGAGGGTGACACAGAAAAACAAGAGAAAACCAATTTAAATTCTTTCCCCAGCATGAAACTCTACAGACAGGTACTGGATTTACATTTTGGAAGGAAAGGTGCTTCATACACTAGTAAGGAAGAGTTCTAACACACCAAAACCAAACCATCACTCCTTACTCAGCTTGCCCGCCTTGCATTATTTGCCATCCACCAACACACCATCCACAGATTTCCTCAAGGACCCTGCTAAGTAAGCATTGCCCTTGGGTCTTTCCTCAATGAAAACATCTTCACACATTACTGCTCACACCTCAGACTTGGAAGAAAGTTGCCAGCAGGCAGTGTCTCTCTCTGAGCCTCAGCATGACGACCTTTGCTCTATTTCTTTCCTACCAACCCAGATGTCTCATGACTCCTAGCAGGCAGCCCAGTCTCCCTCTGACTCATGCAAACTGTAAGTACATGAAGGTCCTAACAAAGGATCCAAGTTAGCCACCAAGGAATGCCAGGGGCTCCAATGCCACAAAAACTTGGGCTGATAAATAAATAAAGGAGGGTTGCCACACTTCTTTAAGAAAAATTGTCAGGTACCAAAGACTTTTGCCATCACTGTTTCAATTTTTTTCATGTTAAGCCGCCCACTGTTTCCCTAAGGAGCTCTCCATCTCCCTTTTAGTGTACTCACTGTTCTTCATTGTTGACAAAAAGGAATAAGGGAGCTTGAACTAACTAAAGAGGTAAGTTAGCTACTAAGGCTGATAGTGCAAATATGGTGGCTGCTCTCCTAGATGGGTTAGTGATGATGCCCAGGCAGTCCAGTGACAATAAAAGCCTTTGTTCAGTTTCAGCAGGCAATTATGGAGCCAGCATGGAGCTGGCAGATTGGCACAAGGGACAAAGTAACTGTCCTCCTCCTTCAAACATCGGCCAGATACCCACCTGATAAGACCTTTGCTCCACTGCTGTACCTGCAGCCAAAGAAGAGTCAAGGAAATGTAGACTGATAAAAGCAGTCTGCAGGGATGGGAAAAAGGTAGCTGAAACCAATTACTATTTGCACTTATCTCACATCAGCCTACAGGTTTCTAATAGAAAAACCAAAACAATGGCCCTGACCAACCACTTCATTTCCAGCACTCTCCTAATTGTGGGTTATTTGAGCTATTTGTCTGCAGGCTAAGGAAGAACTTCTCTGTATTAAATATATTTTGAGTTCCTAACCAAAATAATCTCCCTCAAATAGTATTTTTATTGTAAACAAAAGCCGCAAAAGTTTACACCTCAGGTTCCTTTAGACAACAGAGAAAAACTACATTAAGCAGTTGCAAACAGCCAAAAGACCCAAGAAAATCATTAAGCCAAAATTTAGGAGATGCAGGGTTGTTACTCAGAGGGCTGTCCACAAATGACATAATAACATGCTCTTTCTAGTAGCTGTGGTATGCAGAAGATCTATCTTTCAATAGTTACTAGTACACTTAAGAAATGCCATATTCTTAACAAGCTGATTCAGAGGACATGAAAGTTATGACATTTTAAAACTCTCCTGGACCAGAACAGAAGTTAGGCTGTAATTTGAAGTAAATTAAAAGTAAATTAAAATAAATATATATAAACATGATGTAAATTAAAATAAAACACTTGTTTAGTAAGTAATAACTGTGCATGAACTCTTTCATTTTAATAATTTTATAATTTCATAATTTTAATTTTCATAGTTTTCTAAGTTAATGTTGACAGAGATACATTTGAAACCTAACTAATTTTAATTTTACATCATGTCTCCTTTCTTTCATAAAAAGTATAAAGGAATCACAAAACCACTTTAACATGCCAAGCAAAATGGTTTAAAGATTCACAAAATGTAAAATTTCAACAAAGAACCTGTCAATGATCACCAAGGAAGGATTTTTCTGATTTGTTTCCACATAAGAGATAACACTAATTATTGACCTACATATTCTCTATGCAGAGCAAACAAAACACCAGCATCACAAGAATACAAGGCAGTGTTTTATTGCTCACAGCTTCTGCAAGTGTTTGAAAACATCAGACCTTCAATTAGTCTTTTTTGTAATGTGTCATATTCCCAGAAAGATTCCCATATTTCCACGGTTTACTCTTAACTGACACTAGGCAAAACTACTTCTATAAAAGCAGTCCACAAAACTGCACTGCTATTCAAAGGAGAAAAAAAAAAAGCAGGTTTGGGGAAATTAAGGGTCCTACTACAAGGAGCCACACTGCCTTGGACTCTTAGAAGTGGCCAGGGGCTACTCTGGCACAGTGCCTCTCCTGTCAGATGCCAAAGACATCTGCCGTTGGGTCCAGGCGTTCTGGAAAAGCCCTGCCCACTCTCACATGGAGCCTGCAAAGCACTCGGCAAGGTGGCTGCCTGGAGCCAGCTGCTGTTGGCAAAGCAAGAGAAGCTTTTCTCCAAGCAGCTCTTCACACAAAGCAATGAGAAGACTGAATATCAGAGGAGTTGTGTCCTGGCAACCTACTGAAAGACAATACCATTACCCAGAGCTCTACAGTCCTTCGTCACGGGGCCAGACACATTCCTTGCATGCTGAGGGAATGCCTACATTTTTCTTAAGAGGAAAGCAAGGCAGAAAAAATCATCACAAGCTAAACAGGACAGAGACATCAGTATCCTTCTCAGATACCTTTCAGTCCACGTGCTTTTGAAAATCATTATCCTAGCTTTCAAAATACCAAAACTAAATTAAGTATAATTTACAATTAATAAATAATATGGCTAACTAAATATTTGCATCTAAGCTTGAAAGTCTGAAATATTTTAGCATGACATGACACAAATGCCAGTGAAAACAAATGGAAAAAGTAAGATCTAATTACCTAGATGTGGTATAAAAAAGACACAAACACTCCCAGGGTGAAATCCATATCTAAAGAAAATTATTTAATGTTCTGATTGTTTTTTATTACATGCAAATGTAATCTGGTTTGGTAGTTTAAACTATTGAAAATATATAAAATCTTAAAAAAACCCAAACCAGGTAGGAGGTTTCTTATATAATTAATCCAGGACCTTCCAAGAAAATGAAAACATAAAGTCACACACAAAGATAAGAGCTCCTAAAGTATTACCAACATGCATCAGTAATTTAAATAATTTACATTAAAGAGTTTAAAGAAACTACTGGAAGTTCAGTATTTCCCCAAGTCTTGGCAAGATCTGAATAAAAAGTCAGAGAATTTATTTCCAGTCTATCTCAAGAATGTAGAAGGCATTCTGGAGAGAGTAATACAACTTAAAGGTTAAACTCTTAGAATCAGCATGAAATCTTCAGAAGACCTATTTATATGTTTAAAATACTTTTTCCATCCTTTGAAGAGTTAAAAAAATACTATATGAGCCATATTCCCATGTAGAGCAGTTTGGAGAAAAGAAAATAATGTGACAGAATTCAGAAGAATCGATCAGACACAGTGTTGGATATTGCACATCATTTATTATGTTTCAAAAGTGCTGCTATTAGGCTGCAATTGTATTCTTCTTTTTCTTCATTACAAAATTTAAAAAATGTGAAGGGTACTTCACTTCTTCTCTACTCATCAATTTTTCTAGACAAGTAAGGAGACTCCCAGTCCTTTTTGTCATGTGTTGCTAGAGAACACCTTTTACACCATGGAAAGCCTACACTGAGAGTTCAAACATTTTAAACTGGAAAACATAGCATAAGCAGTGTTGAACAAAATTAGCATTTCTGCCATACCAAGTGGTCACTAGAATCAAATAGTCACTCTACAAAGAAGATGGTGATTGGAATCAAGTATTCACGATTAAACTACCTTAAAAAATATAAAAGCAAAATCCTTCTAATATTTCCTAATGTATTTTAAGTATGCACATCTCTGGTATTTGTAAAACAGATGAAGTGAATCTCAGCATGCAACCACTTAGTCACAAAAATATTTTGTGAGCTGTCCCACAAAAATGAATGTGCATGCTTTTGTATAAAATGATTCTTGGAAATGTACCCAATGGAAATAAAATTAGAAATAATGACAGTCTTACCTGGTCCCAGGGACAGATGATTCCTCCAAAACACATAAAGAGATATCCCATGGCAACAAGACATACCCAGACCACCAGAGAAAATATACGAAGCAGCTTCTTAAATACAGGTTCTACGCAGACAAGGATAAATATAGCAAAAAAAATTGCTAGGGCTGTTGGAACAGTTATTAAAAATGCCATGTGGTCTTCAACTTCCTGAAAACAGAGGAAAATGAAAAGGAAGTTAAAAACAAATGTACATAAAGGTCAGACATCAATAACATACTTTAAACTTATTGTACATGGAGATGCCAGAAAGATATGACTAGATATCTAAAGTGAGTTAAATCAAAATAGGATTTCTTTCATGATAAGAAACTGCTATGTGGAGCATCAACCTTGTAACTACTACTGTAAATAATAACCACAATAGCATAATACTTCTTCTATTACTTTGAGTTGCAGCAGGCTGTGAGAAGTGTGTGCAACATGAGGGGGGCTGCATTGGAAAGCTCAGTCTGCAGTGGACCCACAGCCCATGGCCAACCATCCAACAACTCCACTGCTGGCACACACAGAACAGAGAGGGGCAAAATGCAGAAGAATGGAGCTTGCAAGAGCATGAATCTTCAGGAGAAAGAAACTTCCCCTGAAGCCTGGCATGCCCTTGCAGAATCTCTTCTTTGCTCTGCAGACTTAAAAGACCCATCGCATCAGGAGAGGTGCTGGAGCTGAGCCAGGGAGCTCCATCTGCTCTGTAACAGCCAACGCAACCACAAGAACATGATGGGGGACAGCAGCAGGGACTCTTTTGTGAGCGGTACAGAGGTGTGCCTCTGACACATTCCTGAGAGCTGTGCTGCATACTGGGGGCACATAGCAGGGATGTCACCAAGAGACTCCCAAGCCTCACAGAGCCCATTGTTGCCTGTAGCTAAAGGACACAAAATGATTCACATGAACACTCTCAGGAGTGTTGGAGAGGAGGATTGCAGGAGGATTGGCACTAGGTGATTTTTAAGATCCCTTCTAACCCTAAGCACTCTATGATTTAATATTATTTGAAGCAAACTGAGAAAACTGTAAATCACCCTGAACAGTGCAGGTGTAAAAATGCCTCACAAATCAATGACATCGATAGTTCTGTAAAAAATACTTTTTGACAGTGATAGTTGAAAGGTACTAAATGTTTTGATTCTGTTTAAAGTATTTATCTGGAAGTACATACTCTAGATTACATATAGACATTTATATGTCTATATGTATAGATATATGTCCTAGCAACTGCTTACTTTGAAATATAAAAACAACACCCAGAGCAAGGACCAGAATATAATGTGAAGATTCAGAATATTCAATATTTATATATATGTAATTATATATTTACTATATATTTATATGCAGAACTTACTTGGAAGCTACTAGACTAACATTAAATCATCTAATGATGGGTGCATTAAAAAAATAAATATTTTGGTTTTTGTTGCTGCACATGCTCAAAAGTAAGCCTGTTTGAACTACAAAAGCACTATATCGAAGCAGTCACAGGATCTTTAGTCATTCCCCAGCTGTTATGAATTCTAACAGCCTCTTTTGCAGCAACAAGGATTCCCAAAAGCAGGCCCTAAATGTTACTGCTGTTACAATAACCACAGACTTCATGAAGAAAAGCCTCAGATTCATTTCTCATGATGAAATCAAGAGAATCTGAAAGTACTTACTTGATGACTTATAAGACATCTGATCACAAATAAGCATATCTTTTTCCCTTATTTGTAGTTGCTTCCTTAGTGCCCTGTTAAATCATGTTTATCGATGGGTTTTCAACATAAATACGTAATGTTTTACTTAGAAGTATCTTAATACGACTTTTTTCCTTTCTTATGTATAAAAGGTTTGCTTCAATTAAATCAAAACTAAAAATTTACAAATAAATTTGTAAATTTACAAACATTTACAAATGCCATCAGCAGATTTATTTTGGTTTTTTTCTCTGATCTAGTAAGTTTTACAATTTGATATCTAGGGACACTTGCTCCTTCACTGTTCCCATTTCTTTATTTTCCTTGCAGCCCTGCTTCTGTATGCACTGCAGACTGTGACACCCAGCTGCTCCCAGCTCCAGCTCAGGAGCAGCCACCACCCTGGCAGGCCCAAACCAAGGGAAACACCACAATATATCCTGCCCTGCCTGGCAGAAGTCAGCTCATCTTTCAACTCTCCTTATTTTTAATTCCCTTTTAAATTTATGAAGTCACACATTTAAGCAATTGTTATTGCAACACTGACAATCACAGTATGAGCAAAGAAGTGTCAGGAAATTTTAAGTGGTGATGCTAAATTTGAAATGCAAACACTAAGCTTACAAATATCAAATACACACACAAAGGCCTTCAAACACTTGGATAGTCACACTGAAAACAAAATTATGGCCTTAAATTTAGGCATAGGGTTAAGTGTCTGCAAGAGTATAGAGCTGCATAGAGTAAGATAAATCTTGCACAGTAAGAGTAAAAATATAAAACCTACCTACTATTAGGAAGAACTACTGATTTATATATCTGAATGTTGTGATTTTTGATCAATCCCATCTCTGAAACTTGTCTCAGTTAATTGATTTAGTAAGTCAATTGACATTGGTTGTCAACACAACCAATGTCATCTCAGTTAACACCAAAAGCATTTAACTTCAACCTTTGACTTCTGCAACTCCAGGTGGGATAGCAAAACTATTGTTGCAAGAGACAGCTGTCTCGGGCAAGAGGGTAATATCAACTTCCTTGCACCATCTGTCATGCAGCGCAAGTCACAGCACCAAAGGAAACCACAGACTCCTGGAGTAAGCTAAGACTGTGGAAAACCACATATTTAAATGATGGAAAATTGGCATTTCAGTGATAAAGATCATGGCTACAAATATACTAGCAAGAAAATCCAGATGCACTTCAAGTGCATGCTTCTCCACATCAGCAAAAAAGTAATAAAAATATTGTACTTTCTGTGAGGATTTGGCTTCATAACAGATGAACAATATTTAGATGCCTGATTAGAGCATGTGTATGCTCATGCAGCTACATATATTTATATATATTTTATAATTAGATAAAAATGTTTGTTCCAAATTTACAGCTATTCAATTTCATTTTTTTTATGCCTACACTGATCTCAACATTTGGCTGAACTATTTTGGTCACTAAATCTAAAATTTTACTTCTGCTTTTTCTCCTTCCACAGTTGCCTACTTCACAATTTTACATTTTGATTTAAATGAATGCTAAGGAAAAAAAAAAAAATAGACCACACAGTATCAGCTCCTGAGCATAGGTGACCTCCCTGAGCTGACACAAGGCAACATCCTTCTGCTGTCATAAACTGCTTGCATCACACCATACCCTGTACAAATTCTGAACTAAAATTGAAATTTAAAGACAGAATAGTGTACACATTAGACAATTTATAAAATACATGAGGAAACAGAACTTTATTGTAATTTGTATCCTTTAAAGAAAGCCTTAATATGTACAGCAGGATTTTCACAATCCTGCCTTTAAAATACATGCTAATGTCAGCTCAAGAAAAGCAGGCCCTGTAAGGCAGAGGTTTACTTTGGAAACTACTTTGAACAATATTTTCCTATTACTTCAGAGGAACTAAATCTTTATAGAATTGTAACTTTAAAAGCAGGGCATGCAGCTTCCTGATCGATATTTGCAATTATCAGCGTGTTTAGCAAGTTGGGTGTTGCAAAATCCTGAAGGTTAGATGTTCTGTTACCTCAACCACTTCCCAAAGAGGTGGGTGGAAGAATTAAAAAATATAAAACCAAACACTTTGGGTTTCTTTCCTGCTAGTCTCAGAAATTAAAATACACCAGAGGTAATGGAATTAAAATATCAGCATGACACTTTTGAATATAACAGCTAAGCCTGCAATAGATGGATCTTACCTGACAGCTGTGTCTCCCTGAGTGTTTTCTATCTTGCTGTCTTTTAATTACCGAAGAAATTAAAAAGTCTACTGTTGAAATTTTTCCAACCCCCACAAATTCTTCACAAGTGTGATAATCTTGTTACAACCAGTAAAATCTGAAGAGTCACTTTCAATCATCTTTCCAAAATCCACAACCTTCTCTCTACGTACATCCTGTTCTTTCCCAGATGTCATGCCCTCAATTTAATTTTAAACAGCAAAGCTGCTGTAAAGCACTTCACTGTTATATATAAAAATACAGTCAGATGAAATAATCCATAAAAATGAAGTTAAAATGCCAGTTTTAGCATAAAATCTTTTAACATGATCCCTCATTCTTTTGACACTTTTTCTTTATTCTTTTTGTTTAATGGAATTCAACAGTAGTCTATATACAGAGGACTTCTGCTGGGATCTGAAATATCACACACTTTGAATTAACTCAAACCATTTACCACATTAGACTCCTACTAAAATCCTTTTTTGCTGAGATCAATGAAGCACATTCTAAATATAAATATAAATCCAAGTGATTAATGTTCTTCAGACATTGATTCACTTTTTTATTTCATACACCTATTCAATTTTTAGTGTCTTCAATTTCTTGCAGTGTAGGTGCATGATGTTGCAAATGTTGAGTGCTAGAAGAAATGTTACAGGGCTCAAGGATTACTAGGTGGCTGACCTCTCAATCAAATATCCTCCTTTAACAGGATTGACTGAAAGAATCTGTTGAGTTTTCTCTGCAGCAAAAACTGCTCATTTTCCCTGTAAAACCTTTTCCAGGACTTGAGACAATGGTTTTCAGAAGACATAATCACCCTTCTCTTTGTAAAACTGGACAGCATTTTAATTCTCTAATATCTCAAATAATATTTCTCTACAAAATCTGAAGAAGTCTTCTGGCTCCTTGTGACCCTTCTCCTATGGTTTTATATTTTAGTGAATTTGCTTATGGCTGACTGCACTGTGTAGTATCTACTAGACTGCTGGAAAAATCTCCATTTTATTAAGAGGTACTGTGCCCTGCTCCTGACCAAGTAGCTGTACGTTTTCATCATTTAGGACAACAATTGAAGAGTTTTTGCCAGCAGCCTCAGGATTCTTTTCTGTCAATTCTATTAGTATTAGTCCATCTCCACTTCAGAAATTGTGCAGTGTCTTTAAGGCCAGATGCGATTTCCAATACCATATGATGTTTTCTGGACCCACAACTCAGAGAGGCTCCTCTGCCTTTTGTGCCCACCATTTACCTTTCATAACATAAAACTTTGCTTGTTATGCTTGCTTAGCTGCCTGGTTAGAAGCTTACTTATGTCCTTTTTTTTTAATCTTTCATCGAGTTTTGTGCAACGTATACAAGGACGTTAGCAGAAAATTAACTGACCTGTAACTTTTAATCAGACCGTCCTGAAGTTTGTGTCAACAAAGCTTTTCATTTTTACTAATGTCCTATGTAACTGCATGCCTGAATTATTTTTCTGATTCAGCATTCCCTGACTTAGCAGATCAACAACAACATCAGGCCCAAAGCCAGATGTTTCATGATGTCTGTTGTCTTGAGAAATTCAGTTCTGTCTATTAATGAGTCTGATGTGCAGTCTCCACTTGCTGTTAGTGCACAGAGATTTCTGACTCCACACTAGATGCATGTCAGTCCAGCCATTTGCACATCACATGGATCACGTGGCATTACAGATGCCCAGCTGCTGTGTGATGCTGTATGTAACCATGAGAAGCAGTTCTGCATCCATGGCCACACTCCACACCATTCTGTATTTGTTACTACATGGGAATATAATTGGAGCAGCAAGACTTCATTCAAACCCTTCAAATGACATTATGGCCACCTGAAGCCTTTCCCCAGGCTTGAAAGCCATGAACCATGTGTGCTGTAAATGTGTTCCCTGTATGAGAAGTGTGCAGATTTGCAATGGTGCAGCACTTCTGCTG